GTTATGTTTCGTTACGGTGTAATTTGTTAGTGTCACGCAGAGCTGATGTTACAGTTATACTTTGTTACAATTTCTTGTTAACGTCAGCGTCACGCAGAGCTGATGTTGTAGTTATGTTTCGTTACGGTGTAATTTGTTAGCGTCACGCAGAGCTGATGTTGTAGTTGTTTCGTTACAGTGTAATTTGTTAGCGTCACGCAGAGCTGATATTGTAGTTATGTTTCATTACAGTGTAATTTGTTAGCGTCACGCAGAGCTGATGTTACAGTTATACATTGTTACAGTTTCTTGTTAACGTCAGCGTCACGCAGAGCTCATATTATAAGTTGTTGCAGTGATTTGTGTAAAATAATAAAAGAGCTAATGGTACGATTACTTTTTGTTGTTGTATGATTTGTGTTCGTTTATATGCAACAACACTGCGTTATGTTGTCTTACAAAGATCTAACGTTGAAAGTTTAAAAGATATGTTTATGAGCACCTAAGATATGTAACTGTTCACACTTTTGTGTCAAAGAAAAGAATAACTTTAGTACCAAAAAAAAAAAAAAAACTACGGCTGTTTGGTCAGTTTCTTCCGTTGTTGCTCCATTCACCGCACTCTCTCAGGCCATAAGCGGGATGTTAGAGTCAACAGCTCGTGTGTATAGCTCGTGAGAGATGTACGCTGTCATGTGATATGTTACAGTATGACAGAACAGAACGGACACAAACACATGTCAAAAGAAGACACTGATCTTGGAGAAAATTCAATAACCAGTTTCATGTCCAGTGGATACCACAAGTCGCCAGTACATTGTGTGTGAATCGAACCAAGTGAAGTTAGTCATCTGTTGGCTTTCATTATCTTCCCCGCTGCACCAAAACGTTCGTTTCCACTCACTGTTGTTGACACGTCTCGTCTCATTATATCGACAGCTGGAGATTTAGTAAATCGCTCGACAACTTTAATATATATACACCCGCTACTGTGGTACGGTTCACCGCATCGAAACGCAAAACTTGATAAATTTTTTTCCTTCGGCTAGGTCTTTCGTCACTCGTCGTGAAATCAGCAATAGTTCGCTGCATAAATAATAGATATTCAATTTGTGTTCATTTTTCTTGTACAGTTCTCACTCGTGGAATGTCTAAATCAATAAAGTTTAAAGAAACAGAAAACCTGGCGTCGTCGCCTAATTGTTATCGTTAACTGGCGTGCTATCGGAGCTTCTACAATGACCGTGATCTTGTTTCCGCTTTAGTACTCTCACACATATATAAAAATCTGAAAACATTTAAAGTCTATTTCCATGTTTGAAGATAGTTTTTTTTATGTTCGGTATTCACATAATTTGGATGCAGAAATGATGGACTTATGGATATGTATTAAGCAACCATCCATAAACAGATACTCAAAGAACTTAGATCGTGGTACTTTTTTGGTGTTTTTTTTTTTTTTAATAATCGTGATAATGCCATACTTGGATATTATATACACATTTCAACACCATGAGCTAAACAAACAGTATACCAGCAAGTCTTGCATTTCCAAACTAACTTCTTGACAGCGTATTTAAGGATACACTTAATTAGACATAATTAGTTTAATCTTTTCTTGTGTGTTTCACGGTGGTGTGTAAGACAACCTAGCGCGGATTTACAAATGAAATATATGAACGATAAAAGTCACTTAACTTAAAATTTGTTTAATCCCTTTCTTAACAGGGTCTCCTGGAGGGGTCGTTTTTGGCGGGCAAATACGTCTGGTGACTTAAGAAATATAATCCAGCAAGGTCTTAGATAGAGTCGATAAGCTTAACACACACACACAGAGTTTAAAACACTGATAAAATAAGTGATAGAATTGAAGTCAGAAGTATCAATTTGCCAAGGAAGTGCTTTAGAAATGGGCGGGTTGTTGAATAAATTGGCAAAAGGTCACTATTGGCTCAACCCGAGATGACAAGATGAACACACGATATTGAAATATATTTCAGCTTGGACGAAACTTTGAGACGTGATGGGTATTGGAATATATTTCATCTTGGACGATACTTTGAGACGTGGCGTTTAGGCCAGGTCAAAGACTCTTAGGGTTCAAGTACATATAACAGTCACTACTTTTCAACTGCTGACCAGAGGGGGGAAGTGGTGTGAGTCCGTCAACAATACCCGTCGTCGCAAGGTATTCGTTTGCTCTTTGAACCAAATAACAAGGTCCACTGTCAGGCCCATCGGTAAGTCTGTGGACTTATAATTCCTGGTATTCTATAACTGTGATGGGCACAACACAGATAGCACATTGTGTAGCTTTGCGCTTAAAAACAAACAAACAAAACCACTGTCGGTTTTACGACACGTTCGTAGCTGTAATTGCGGAGCGTGATCAGAACACATCGGGGGCTCTGAACCTTGGAACTGTCAATTCGCAACCTGGCCGATGTCCATTAGACACGACCGGCCTGTGGAAAACCATCTTAAAGTTGTCCCTCCAGTTGTATTTGTTCGATGAAATGACTTTTTGTGCTTCGATATAATAATATTCAAGAGTGAATGGATGGTTACACCACAACTGTGGTTTTAACATACGAGTGAATGGATGTTTACACCACGACTGTGGTTTTAACATACGAGTGAATGGATGTTTACACCACAACTGTGGTTTTAACATACGAGTGAATGGATGTTTACACCACGACTGTGGTTTTAACATACGAGTGAATGGATGTTTACACCACGACTGTGGTTTTAACATACGAGTGAATGGATGTTTACACCACGACTGTGGTTTTAACATACGAGTGAATGGATGTTTACAGCACGACTGTTTTCAAATGCCGCGGCTATTGAGGATTCCCTCTTGTTTGTTTGTTTGTGTTCCTTTAAATCAAACACAAACTTTCACTCTATGCAGAGTGAAGATGTTCGTGGTGTAAACATCCATTCACTCGTATGTTAAACTACAGTCGTGGTGTAAACATCCATTCATTCGTATGTTAAAACCACAGTTGTGGTGTAAACATCCATTCACTCGTATGTTAAAACTACAGTCGTGGTGTAAACATCCATTCACTCGTATGTTAAAACTACAGTCGTGCTGTAAACATCCATTCACTCGTATGTTAAAACTACAGTCGTGGTGTAAACATCCATTCACTCGTATGTTAAAACCACAGTCGTGCTGTAAACATCCATTCACTCGTATGTTAAAACCACAGTCGTGCTGTAAACATCCATTCACTCGTATGTTAAAACCACAGTCGTGGTGTAAACATCCATTCACTCGTATGTTAAAACCTTATTTTAGGCAGGATTAGAGTAAATTAATCTACAAGACCTTGTAAATTGTTGTAAATCTTTCAGTTCACGTGTAGATTTTGTAATAACTAATATATATATATATATATATGTGTGTGTGTGTGTTTATATCATAAAGATAATGTTAGTAAAACAAGTAAGAAAATAATTACGGGTTTGTAAGTAGAATAAGATACTTATTGTGTGAAACTAAGTGGAAAAGTACGTGGTTTATGCCAATTTTTGTGCACTGTTTGGTTTCTTATTTCCATTATTTCAAGTGATTGTTATTAAATCCGCTTCCATTGTCTTTTATACAACTTTCCTTGTGATCTGGTGTGGTATTCATACATTCTAGGTTTATTGTATTTTAATAGAGCGTAGTAACAGTACAAGTAACACGTTAGCAACGTAGACTACTCTGTTATATTTAATTACGTGGAAGCGTAGCCTGTAATACTAAGAAACCGGGTCATAACATATACAAATAGTTCAATAACCTTTTAAGATAATATAAGATTAAGGACTGTACTTCTTCAAGTGATGTTACCTGTCTTCCTGTCAGAGAGAGAGAGAGAAGTAGTAAAAAAACAAACGTAATTTAAACATTTCGTATAAGCAAGTTCCAATAAAATCATTAAAAATCATCAGTTGTGTATTTTTCTCACCCAAGAGTTTATATTTTGTCCTTGTTTTGTTCGGTCATCTACATTGTCGTCATGTACCTCCCGATTGGAAACATCTTTGACATTCATACGTACTCTTGCTGAACTGATTCGAAGATAAGTGACACTTAGAAAAGCGTTAGGTATTACTCTTGAATGAAGGTAAATAATACAGTTTCTGTGTTGTCCCTTTTTACTATGTTCTAGGTGACTGAAAACAAGTTATATAGATAGACTACACTATACTTTACCATACTACATTACACTGTGTAACATTATATTATACTAAACTAATACTACTGTACTACACTACATTACACTATTTTATACCACATTACATTACAATATACTACAAGTGGACACGGTTTTTATCATCAGAAAAATGTTTATGTTTACCGACCAATCACTACACTTCTAAACAAAATGCGCTCCCCCACTTTAGGGCCATGATTGCGTTATAAGAGTGGAAGTCAAATCCAACTAGCCGATCAGATAAAATCAGCATAAGAATTGTCGGTGAGAGCTGTTCATTACCTATGTTTCTCCTGGTTTATCAGTTCTAAATAATAGGTCGTCACGTGCAAACAATTCATATTTTGTAGCTTTGCGCGAAAGTTACAGAAACACAAGTAAATATTTCTAAGTAGTCAGTATTATTTATCATTGGCTGTTTAGACGTTCGATCGACATCCTAGTGAGACAAAATCACTTGGTTTCTCACTTTTACGCCTGGATCGTTCACCAAGTTCTCTGTTAATTCAGTATATATTCTTCGTGGCTATTTGGCTGTCTATTCCCAGTGTCCTTGACTCAGATTAACTGGGAGTATCTACTGATGTAAAATTGTTAGAAGTAGGCGTCCACTACTGTTTTTATTCCATGTTTATACACGAGTAGAACGTGCGGATGTTCAGTTCAGTTCTGTTGAAATAATTGGACCTCCCAGTAAGCATCTTACATTTTCTCCTTACCTGTCAGATGATGTCAGTCATTTCCACTCGGTTTGCATGTGCATATCACTGCAAGTCACGCGGTAATAGGTCAGAGGTTATAAGATTTTGTTAGGTACAACGAGCTGTCGTCTCGAATCACTCGTGCAGATTCACTTTGCTAGACACACCCGATTGGTTAGTTTCCTATTTCAAATCTACTTTTTCTTTGTCGAAAGTGTTAGTCTACCAGATTCTTTGGAATATTATCAGGTCCATTTATGTTTCATCGTATTCTGAAACCTAATCCATCTCGTATGCTTTTTTATGTCGAGTAGTTTAACATGTTAAAGAGAAAATATCCATCCATAATCTTGATAACGATATGCTCAATTATTATTTTATTTTTTTATAGGACATCCGTCACATGAAATGTCTTCATGGTCCAGCTTCACTTCCATATTTGAATTTTTGGACAACAAGTACCATCAGGTGGCGCTAGAATCGCCTACAGAACCGAAGAAACTGAGGGAGGAATTTTAAGAAAAACGATGATGTAAGAGTTTTCAGTTTAGCTTAAAAGTTAAGGGCAGAAAAATTCGTGTTCTCTGCACTAACACTAATGTGGTTGTATTCTTCTAACTTTCTGTTATTCACGCAATATATATATGTTTGATGCGTTGAGAAGAAAGTCGTTTTAATGTAGTCCAATAAAATAATTCATGTTTTTACACACACCTCTTATTTCGAACCCCAATGGACAAATTAAGAGAAACGAGAAAAAACAAAACAACCTGCAAGTAAGTTGTTTTTATAACAATTGTTAAGCCTATTTAGGTTTTTCTAGTATGTCAGCATTTCACCGTAACTTATAATTATGAGAACAGTTTGTTAATTGTGACCGAATTTTTGGGCTATTTTAAATGTAGGAAATCCAGAGCTTGAGTTTGATTTAATTGTAAATCGAGATTAGTACTTGAAATCTTTAATAGAGGACCAGCATATTGTTTTTGAATGATATTTTCTTTAAATATAAACCTTACTGAACGATTAGATATATCAAAAAGTAAATGGGAAGCTCAATCTACCATTAGATTTAAAACTTGTATCTGAGTTATACCAGTTTCGGGGAATTCCACCCCTCATCATTAATCCTGAACAAGGGGAAACAATAAGACCCGGTTTCGGGGAATTCCACCCCTCATCATTAATCCTGAATAAGGGGAAACAATAAGACCCGGTTTCGGGGAATTCCACCCCTCATCATTAATCCTGAACAAGGGGAAACAATAAGACCCGGTTTCGGGGAATTCCACCCCTCATCATTAATCCTGAACAAGGGGAAACAATAAGACCCGGTTTCGGGGAATTCCACCCCTCATCATTAATCCTGAACAAGGGGAAACAATAAGACGAGGCTTCGTATAGTGGTACAGTGTGTATTACAGGTGTGGTGGTTTAAATAAAAGATCTCAAAACATCGTACATAGAATAATTAAACCGTTGCTTTTTAATTAAAAGTCTATTCTTTTTTTGTACGATATTTTAATATAATGTAAAGTTGACACTTCTCTACATAAATATCTCGCATGTTGTACTTCGTCAACGCTAAAATAAATAATGTCGTTCTCTAGACAGTTACAGAATGCCGTTCTCTAGACAGTTACAGAATGCCGTTCTCTAGACAGTTACAGAATGTCGTTCTCTACACAGTTACAGAATGTCGTTCTCTAGACAGTTACAGAATGCCATTCTCTACACAGTTACAGAATGCCGTTCTTTAGACAGTTACAGAATGCCATTCTCTAGACAGTTACAGAATGCCATTCTCTACACAGTTACAGAATGCCGTTCTTTAGACAGTTACAGAATGCCATTCTCTACACAGTTACAGAATGCCGTTCGTTTATAAGTTTTTTAGTTTTTAAAGTGCAAGAGGGATGACAGTTTTTAAAACTAAATTCTTGTGTAGGTGGATATAGTTTTAGTCTATATTAACTATCTGAACACTAGTAGTCTAGTGTAAACACTGGCTGAACATTTTGGGGGATCTGTAATATAAATAAATAGCTTATAAACTATTGATGACATTAATAGTTAATAGGCGATTAAATTAGCACTATAAAACAATAATGAATTAAATATCACAATGCCGTTATTGGTCCTGGTTGTCAAGTTATTGTCATAACGGATAATGTCTGTGGTAATAGCACCCAAATGCGTTGGGGATATCCCATCTATGAGACAAAATCCAAACGTCGATGTCAATCTAGTCAGCCGTCATGGAAAATCATAAAGAAAATCAATCAAATGAGGGTACGAAGCTGATTGCTTACACCCACAACCTACTGCCTTTCACTGTCTATAGCTAGTTGTGGGAAGACAGTTACTCTTAAATTTCTTAAAGTAAAGATGAATTGAAATAAAGCCACCCTAATATTTCTACTAATTAAACTTCCAACCTCCGGGAGTTAGAACTATACAAGAACATTTAAGGTAGGGTATATACTGCTGTTAAATATTTTATAGTCCTATTTAATATATTCTTTGTAAGGGTGACCTACTCCCTTTAATAACACAAGTTATAGTATGGGGTAAACAACGTGAGAATTATTGGTTTATCTTAAGGTAGGAGGTACGACAATAACACAGGTTATAGTATGGGGTAAATAACATGAGAACTATTGGTTTATCTTAAGGTAGGAGGTACGACAATAACACAGGTTATAGTATGGGGTAAACAACATGAGAACTATTGGTTTATCTTAAGGGAGGAGGTACGACAATAACACAAGTTATAGTATGGGGTAAACAACATGAGAACTATGAGTTTATCTTAAGGTAGGAGGTACGACAATAACACAGGTTATAGTATGGGGTAAATAACATGAGAACTATTGGTTTATCTTAAGGTATGAGGTACGACAATAACACAGGTTATAGTATGAGGTAAACAACATGAGAACTATTGGTTTATCTTAAGGTAGGGGGTACGACAATAACACAGGTTATAGTATGAGGTAAACAACATGAGAACTATTGGTTTATCTTAAGGTAGGAGGTACGACAATAACACAGGTTATAGTATGAGGTAAACAACATGAGAACTATTGGTTTATCTTAAGGTAGGAGGTACGATAATAACACATGTGATAAATGTATGATAAATATGGGAGTCTTTTAATATCGTAAACTAAATAGTGTGGAACTTTCATGTCGTTATTATAACACTTGTTATACATTTCACTACACCAGGGCCTCGTGTGGAACTACTTTTTGTATCCCTGTACACGAAATATCAATAAGATATATTTTAGTTCACGTTAACTAACACAACACCTTGTATACAAGTGAAATAAACATTGTTTGACACCATGGTAACCAAATGATTATTATACAACACCATGGTAACTGTGTGTTATTTCCCTAGTTTCAAACTAAATATATTTTAAGCTCGTTTGAGCAGAATTAGTATTTTTTGGATAATGATAACGAAGAAAACATGTGTCAGTGTCCCTAGTTTCCAGCTGAGGGGGGGGGGGTAGGATAGTTAGATAAACCTTTGGGGGGCACGGTAACAAAGTAAACATTCCATTGTCGGATATTACACACCACGATCTTCCGAGTTCGAATGTCGCTTGAAATCATTGTAACAGTGATGAAGAAGTATCAGATTATAGCAATTTGTAACTAGGAAACGTCGTGTGATTCACGTAACACCAAGCCCATTTTAATCTTAACTTTCGTTTTTCAGGAGATGCCTCTGTGGATAGTCTCTTCGTATTTCATCGCTCCACATTGTTGCCGTTTCTTTGTGGGTTACCAGAATATTTCCTGATCTGAATAATCATTGTGTGACTTCAAGAACGAGTTTAAATCGTTGTAAACATTCTTTTTTTTTTTCTCATGGTTTCAGTTTTGGTTTCTAGGTGAAAACTTGCAGATGCATGTGTGTATTTTAACAAACGTTTTACATAACTTGAATGTTGACCACAACTGGCGCACCTGCAAAGTTTGACCTTTGGTAAATCTCTCTATTATATGTGGTCCTGATGGTTTGATTTATATAATAATAGTAATAATCGAAGCATGTTAATTAGTTACATTTATTTTTATTATTTTCCGCAAGGGGGGAACTGTAACTTTTATAATGACTTTGTACAGTATTCATGTTTGATTGAATAAGTGTTTCATTACACGATCATTAGGTACTTGCCACAGCGTGTGGGAGCAACTTTCAGAAAGGGGAGCTCTGGTTTTACAGAAATTATGCGCAGAGTTGTTTGATTGGTTACAGGATATATATATTTACATGTGTAAATATAATTCCTATAGCATTTATATTTGGGTGTAAGTTTGCGTTAGCCTTGCTTGTTTCATTATATTATTAGTAATCGCACCTGTTTAAACTTCCTAAGAGATGGCGCCACAAGTCAGTTGAAGATCTTTTTAGAAGTACATGTTGGATTGTAACTAGTTTGGTACATTTATTGCTGTTACTCATTTAACTTTTCATTGTGAATGTATATGTGTAAGTTTGCGAATCCTGGTTAAAGTATGTCAAGTTAAAACATAGCCTATATACATCGGCTTCAAATGATATACAAACACTTTCGGTGTGAACAATTATTTAAAATCGAATCAGTGTTGTATAATGACGTTATTGGTTCTGGTTTTCTAACGGTTTTAAAAAGATACTTGCTTTTAGGTGAGTGCCTTATAAAGTGATAAAATACACACGTACTTCCGAATAATTTAAAAGACTTTTTAATAAGTTATTTTCCACATCAGTTAGAACCTTTGGTGACAATGAGAATTGGAAATATTAATCAAAGAAGATGCTTAATGATTAGTTCGTCTACTTTTTCCTTTTTTTGGGTGGGGGGTATTGTTTTTTCATGTAACACGTGGATGATTAGACACACAACTTGGAGACACTGACAGAGTTTGTTATTCCTGTCAAATTTGGACCATTATAGATGATTAGACACACAACTTGGAGACACTGACAGAGTTTGTTATTCCTGTCACATTTGGACCGTTATAGATGATTAGACAC